GGGAGCTATACAACATTGCATAAATTCATGAAAGATCTTTTCAGCAAAGCCTCTCCTTGGATTATGTGTCTTTGATGTGTTTTGTTTGAAGTAGTAAAGAGACAATTTATCCAACAAAGTGTCTTCTTAACCATGCCAAAACTCAGCTTCCTCGGAGAAAAAAAAAAAAAAAATGCAAAGTTCTGGATATTCTGATAACACCGAGGAGGCATGACTGAAAATATACTTTTAGTGATTTTTACGTATGCATAATTTAAAGTCTTCACAAGACTACCATCAGTGACCTTGTCAACCTGTGTACTTTCAATTACTAATTTTAGCAAAGGTTTGGAATTTTTGTTCAGAGAATCTGAAGAGACAAGATGCAGACTTTGCCTGGATGAACTGGCATCTTACAAAGCAGATTTTGCAGAATAGACAGAAAAGAGCTGCTGATTCTCTACTGGCAAAGGCAGTGCTACTGTTGGGGACAGCTTTAATTTGCAGATGAGAATCTTCAAGGATCTCTTGGTGGATGCTGTTTAGAAAACGCACTCTCTTCTTGTCATCTCATAATTGGTGTTGCCAACTTCTTTAGGTACCTATTGCAATTGTATTTTGTGATGAAATGGAGAATGTGTATATTTTCTGCTCACTATGCTAACTCTTAGCATCTGAGAGACCCTTCACTTTGTCAAGGGTAATTCTGCAGTGTAGTTTGTTGCTGTTTTTTAAATAACATTTTATGGGTGACTAAAGGTTTATGAAGCTTTCTATGTTTTTATTTTCCTAAAGAGATTGTGCATCTTAGGTTGAAAAGTACATATCTTAAACTTTCTGAGTACTTAGTAAATAGATATTGGTTTAATTGATCTATTGATTGATTAGGTATTGGTCCACCTACATATATTGTTCCCATTTCAGTGTAAAACTCCTTGGGACAATAAACTAAAATTAGATTTGTAAAGTTTGGTATTTATTTTTGACTTGAAGTTCTTAGAAATGGAAAAAGAGCAAAGTATATCTTTAGCAAGTATTTGCTATGATAATAGTTTCTCCACAAGCCTCATTGCTAAGACATCCTGTATACCCATCGATTCCAAGAGCATTTCCTTAAAAGAAGTGTGAATTAGTAACATCAGGCATGGATTTTATATGACTTAACCAATGTAGACTTTATCACATACAGACCTTCAAAACTAACACTGACTAATATTCAGAATATTATACCCAGATTGGTGGTCACACATCTTCAGTTTTGAAAATTGTTCTTTCATAAACATATATGGGTACACATAAGCTTTAGTTCTGATTCGTTCATAAATTTAATTCTTTGTGAACAAGCTGATAACAGTAGAGACTTTTCCTTTGCAGTGTGTCTTCCCATCTGCTCTTTTCAGGAGGTGAGATCATATTCTTCAGCTTGCTTCTAAGCCAAAGAGCTGTCAGTTCTGCTTGAATACCTAGACCTTTGTCTTTTATAAAGGTGGTTTTCTTAAACTTATAAGACGATTTTTTTCTCCATCCCGTTGTCATGGGGTTGCACATCACTCTTAGAAGGCTTACCAGCAATTTCACTGGTATTATTGATAGTCCTTTTTCCTTACAGTCTTCCTAAGCAACTCGAGCAGGCTTTTCTTAAATTGGCTTTGTTGTTAGTTTTAATGCACTCTGAATGAAATAAATGAATGCTGTAAATATGGACAGGATGCAATTATATATATACTTATACACACATACACACATATATAAAAAAGAAGATTGACTTTCATCTTGGATTTTAAAATAGAACTCAACTGTGGAATCATAACCAGCACTTTCATAGTGCATCTATGTAATGCAATATTAATATTACCTATAATTACATTGGACTGTGAGAATACATTATTGGCATTGATATGTTCACATTTTCTGAAGTTTCAATGTTTTCTGGAAAACTGTTCAAAGCTGTGCTGGTGCACTGCAATAAATGTAAGAAATATATGAATCAAATAACACAAAATAAACTCACTGACTTCTGGAGCTGTTTTGACAGGATATGGTATGTGATGTTTTATCCTATGCTTACATGTGTGGTGATCCTAATCAACAGCTTTTTCTGAAGTCCAGGGATCTCAAGTTAATAGTTTGCAGCCACATCTTTACCAGCTTTTTAAACACATTGCAAAACACACCTTTCTGCAGGAGCCACGTCACAATAATACCTTTAACACCTTCAGAGAAGAGAAGGAACCCGAAATGCTAGATCTAGAAGAGCCAAAGAGCAGAGATGTAAAAACAGAAGGGCAATTGTATTGCATCAGACCAAAGTTCCATTTAGCCCAGTATAGTATCTCTCACAGGGACTAACAGTCAGTGCTCGGGGCTGGCGGGGGGGGAAAAACAGTGTAAGCATGTAGAGATACTTCCCCTAAGTATTCTGTTAGCCTCTGGTCATTTGTAGTTTAGGGACTTTCTGATTTCTCTGTGTTCTGTAGTCCTGAGAGAATTCTTTTTTTTTTTTTTTATTACTTAGTTGAGTCTCTACTGAAGCATGTGTGAACTTTTAGCATCCAAAACATCCCATTGCAAGGAGTTTCACAGCTTAACTACATTTTGCATGAAGAATCATTTCCCCTTGCTTGTTTTGAATCTGCCATCTCTGAGCTTCTTTTGATACCCCCTACATTCTCACAACTCATTACTGTCTTCAGCATTAAGATACTGTGACAGTGGGCACTGGAAATTCCTAAGATAAATGAATGAGGTGTTTTATAATAATAATTGTTTTGATTTTTAACATCTGGAATCAAATCTATATGTACTCTGTCTTTGGGTGTTTTGGTCTTTGGGAGCAGATGTTCAGTGTAGTTCCTTTCAACATGTTTCTGTTTTTGACTCTGACATCCTACTGTAATGGATTAAAATAAGCCATTTGGCAACCACTCAGGCCTTTAAATAAACTTTAATAAGTTTGAAAACCATTGCATCTCTTGTGGCGCCAGACCAGCAGCTATCTATACATGGTTCTTTTCCTCTTATGCAAGGGTTGTTTGCCCCCTTTTTATTTTTTAAAATCTTATCTTATTTATCACTTTTTCAATAAACAAAATGCACAAGAATAATTTTATCTTTTCTTTTTCTTTAGCAAAATTAGTAGATCCTTAAGCATTGTAAATCAAATCTAAAGTAGGTTTTGCTTCCCATATCTGATTATCAAGAAAATAATTCTTTCTTGATTACTTTATTTGCTTTCAAATACTCCCTGCATATATTTTGTCAGGAGATTCTGGAATTATGGTAGAACTGTTTTGAGATGGATGAATCCAGGAAGTATTTTATAATTTTATTTGCTGAAAGGAAAAATCTTGACAGTCTAATCTGACTTATTTATCCTATATCCTGTCAACTATAGAATCTCACGTGTTCTGTTTTGATTTGCCATCTGAATATTACAGTCAGTAACCAGTTTCATCACTACTTAATTTGTGATTCTAATAATTTTATTCAGGTTTTTTTTTGCTTTTGCAGACAAGTGAAAATTCAAAATAATTATGTTCTCCATCATTTTTTTCTCATTGTTTATAGCTGGTCAGTGTGAAGTATAAAATCTTAGAGCACCTAAAATATTTTTCAAGTTCAGGACAGTTCACAATAATTAATAAGAAATGGACTTAGAAATGTGGAAATAGATTTATACTATTTTTGTCTTTTGAGACAGAGCTATACAAGGGAAATACATGATTGTCAACTGCAAGTATCAATAAAAATGTCAAACATTGGATACCTGAAATTTTACTTTTAATATCAAGGAAAAAATTAAATGTACTTATATTTCAGACATCAGCACATGAAAGGCAATTTACTTGAGAAAAATATGACTCTGTCTTCATAAATAGTGCAAGAAATTTTGCAAGACAAAATGTATTAATAAGAAAAAAATGCTATATTTGCATGTCAAATTTGTTCCTTCAAATTGTATTGAAATTGTATTGTACTTATAAGTAGTGGAATCTAGAGCACCATAATTTAGGGGACTGCTTTTTGTTCATTGCATTAAAAGCCCTCTCATTCAGAACAAAATCAAGACCAAAAATCTCAAAATAAATTGAGTCACAACTTGAAAATTCCATTTAGTCAGCCATGGCTCCTGAGATTTATATCAGCTGCAGCCGAGACCCATCTTTCCTCCACAGTGTGCAGCTATACCACTGTCATTAAGCTTATCTACTGTTTGGCAGAAATCAGGTGGATGTTAACATCAAGAGTGTGGTGAAATAGAGAAGGATATTTGAACTAGACTTTTGTTATGCACTTCTGCAAGTAGAAGAGATGTGAAAAAAGCTGAATATCATTTCAAGCTCTGCCGTTACATAGCTACTGTTGCTGTCCCACAGAAGCTTCTTGTACAGACACAGTTCTAACAGAAGCATTTGCTTTTACAAATATGGTTTTGTGCGTTTCCACTGTAAATTAAGATTTTACTACACTGATAAAAGCACAGGTTCTTCTGTATACACTTATCCAATCTGGGAGTAGTCTGATAGTTTGGTATAGTAGTATTCTTAGAATAAAAACAAGACTCCTGGTATAACTTTATGATTGCATGAGTTTCTAACCGTGATATAGTCTTCTGTGTTTGCAGTTAATGAAGCCATATGTGAAATATTTATAGATTGTTTAGCTGTAGTGTGCCAATGATCACAATTCCTGACATCTACAGTCTTTTAAGAGACTAAATATCATCCTTGCAAAAATTCATCAGCCAAATAAAAAAGTATACAAAGCTAATAGTAATAAATATGATCAACTAATGATGAATAATGGGGTAAGTCAAGGCATCAAAAAGTCCTTCAATTCTACATAGTTTAAATTCCACTGAATCTAGAATACATATCTTGAAGTGTATTCTTATATTACTGAAGACAGATGCTATGTAATTAAGAATTATTGTTATTTATATTTTGGTTCTATACAAAGTTGATCATGGAAAATATGTTATGCCTTATATATTAATTATCTCCCCATTTTTTATTCTATAGTGCTTTGGCAGGATATAATGGTACTATCTTTGCATATGGTCAGACAGGCAGTGGCAAAACTTTTACCATCACAGGAGGAGCAGAACGTTACAGTGATCGAGGCATCATTCCCAGGACTTTATCTTATATTTTTGATCAATTGCAGAAGGTATGGGACATTGTTTTCTCTTTATTTTTAGTGTCTGGCTTACAAATACTTAACTATATTGCAAAAGGCTTTTTTTATAATAGTGTTAGAAGAAGCCCTAAAATTAATGCTGTATCTAGCTTGACATGATACCTTATAAAATAATATATTGGTAATAGTTTTGATTACCTGGGTTTTTGTAGTTTTAAAAAACATGCTAAATTCACTTCGTGCAATATACATTCAGATCACATAATTGGTTCTCCTTGTCTTAACACTTATATTAATGCCAATCTGTTTTTGTCTTATATGCCTTGCATCGTACACATCTTGTACAAAAATTGCACTCATTCCTATGTAAACCAACAATGTTGTATATAAGATGGAGTATTACTCTCACTCTTCATAAATTACCTAATTTTTTTGTGCTTGACTGATGCCCCAAAAAGAAACAACTAACCCATAAAACAGTAAAATTAATATTAAACATTTTAAAATATTCAGCTATTTATTTTATCTAATGCCTTTATTTTACCTGATGTTACTTATTAGCTAGAATATATTATAGTATGATAATGCTAAATGCATCTAAATATGATAAAAAGCAATTTTTAAAGTCAGTAATGCAAATACTTAAAGGATTTTGAAAGAAAATACATATCCACATTAATTTTCTTTCTCTACTGTTTTCCTTTTAACTCCAATTATGCACTTGTGTGGAATTTTTTTATGTATATATGATATTAGTAATAAAAGTCTTGATTCATTGAATATAGTTGGATAGAAACATTGTTAAGCACATTTCTTAACATAATTACACATGTATAACATATGAACAGTAAAAATGTAAATAGTAAAATGTCACGAATGTTGTTTATTCTTATTATTACTATTATTATTATTACTGTTATTGTTCTAAATGCATTCCTTCCAAAATGAAGAAAAATTACCAAAAAAAAAAAAAATCCTTTAGTCTGTTGTTAAAACAGTATCAGTACCTAAACACTAGGTAACAATGACTAGAAAAACACTTTCAAAGGTAGTAAACTGTGTTCTGAAAACCAGTTTTGCATGTGCTTTACATATGAAACTTCTAATGGAGAAATAGGCACTGCACCCATACAAATACTGATTTGGCTTCACTAAAAATTTGAGCAGTAGTAAATACTACCCAATATGGTCTCTCTGTCTCTTCCCCTTTTCCTCATCTTATAGTATTTCTGAGTCTTAGAGTGCTGTCCCAGTTAATTCTTAATGCTTTTCTATTATTTTTTTAAATACTGCACAGATTTTCCTGACACTCACAGCTCAGTGCAACTACTGTTTGAATACTGAATTTGAAATAGCTTATTGAGCAAAGCACATCACGCCAGTGTGGTTACTGACCGAAACCAAAGAGCAATAATTTTACTATTTAGGTGAATCTAGTGATGTAAAAATGAATGGTACATTTCTACAGCTCTAGCTGTACGCTTCAGAAGTAGGGAGGGAAACAATACGAAGTCTTAAAATGGTTTTGTGATTACAAAAAGAAAAATACTTTGCCAAAACCATACATGTAATTGTTGCACTTACAAATTAACCAAGCTGATTTACAGATTGTTGCATCCCACTGAATTTGAACTCTTTTACTCTTTACTTTAAATAAAAAAAAAAATTGATGTTGCTTCCTGTGCAAAAAAAAAAAAAAAGCCATCATTGCTGACGGAAAAATATTGGCAGAATTTGGGAGAAGGAGAAAACTGACTTCAGTTTAATTGTATGGTTCTTCTGGTTCTACTGTGCCCCCCAAAAAAAGGCACCTAAAACTTAATTTGGCAGTTTACTTATTTCTTTTATATATCGAAAACATGGCATCAGTTCAGTTTTACAGAAGGTAGTAGTGACATTTAAAATACTACAAGTACCCTGTAATGTTTCAACATCTAAGAGCAATGATAGAAAAAGAATAAACACAAATTATTGAAAAAAATCCCAAATTTCAAAATCTTGCCATACCTTGTGCTGGGTTTGTGTGGCAGGGTTTTTGGTAGCAGGGGAGGGGGCTACAGCGGTGGCCCCTGTGAGAAGCTTCTGGAAGCTCCCCTGGGTCCAAGTCAGACCTGCCTCTGGTCAGGGCCAAACCAATTAGCAACGGTGGCTAATTGGTTTCACATCTCTGTGATAATGTATTTAAGAAGGGGAACCTGAGTGGGGGTTGTGACTTGTGAGGAGGAATTAGGAGAAGGATGCTGAGGTCAGTCAAAGGAAGGAGGAGGAAGGAGAGGAGGTGAGCTGGATCAGAGACCCCCTGTATCCCATGGTGAGACTGCAGGGCTGCCCCTCCCTGCCACCTATGGAAGCCCACAGTGGAGCAGGTGCCAACCTGCAGCCTGTGGAGGACTGCACACCAGAGCAGGCGTCTGTGCCCGAAGGAGGCTGGGACCCTGTGTGAAGGAGGAGCCCCCACTGTTGTAGTTGGGTGCTGGGAGGACTGCAACGCATGGGGGTGACCCGCACCAGAGCAGCATGGGAACGGCTGCATCCCACGGGAGGAGAAAGTGTCGGGAGGACTGCCTCCTGTGAGAGGGGAACCAACCACGCTGAAGTGTGGGTAAAATGTGAGGAGTCATCCCTCCGAGGATGAAGGGGCGGCAGGACTGACAGAGACCCCCATCCCCTGCACCTCTGTGGGGGGAGAAAGCAGAGATAGCAGCAGCAGAGCAGAGCCCAGGAGGAAGAGAGGGTTGGGAGGGGTTGGATTTAAGATGTAATGCTTTTCATTGTCCTACTCTATCTGTTAAGTGTTGTTGTTGTTAGTGTTTGAATTAAAGTGATGTTATTTTCTTTCATCCCCTAATGAGTCTGTCTTTTGCCCATGATTATAATGGGTGAGTCACCCCTCCCTGTCCTTATCTTAATTCCTGAGCCTTTTACATTATTTTCTCCTTCCTGTTCCTGTTTTGAAAGTGATGACTGAATGGCTGCATCGTGCTCAATTGCCCTCTGGGCTCAAAACACAACACACCTGAAATATTTCTTATTATCTTCTTACATTAATTTTTTCTAATAAGTGAATGATAATTGTAAACTGAAATGCCTTAGAAACTCAAATAAGATGTCAGCAGCAAAACTTCTCATTGAATAGAGAAGCTGATGTTAAGTTAGTCATTCCAAATTGTAAGTCTTCTGACTAACCTGCAGCCTACAGGTTGGAAAGAAAGCTTAAGTAACATATACTATTTTTTGCCACATATAAGGGGACTGAGAGAAACAACAGTAACTAGCTGATGATACAGTGATTGGCATTCCAGGTAGGGGGGGATGTGTGTATACGTGTTGTTATAACCAAAATATTGTGGAATTATTTCAATTGGACATTTATATGCAATAAGTGAATAAGTGAAAGAATGCACCAGAGTAAGCACACTGATGATTGTTCATTATGTTTATGAGAAATTTCATTTTCTTTTAGTATCTGTAATACTGATATGAGTGAGCAGTCATTCTGGTGCTTTTGTAACTATAGGACACAAAAATGAAGAGAGGAAGAAGAGGCTGGTGTAATATGTTTTGTCTCTTCATTTATTCCACCAGGCCTATGACTCACTTAATCTTAATATTCACACTTCAATGAAGCTATTTAAATAAACAAATCTAAATATTATTTGACGTTAACATCAATTGTTACATTTTACTTTTATGCTCTAACATTCATCAGATACAGGGTACCAGTTCTTACTCATAATGGTATGTGTCTCAGTCACATGAACATGCCCTGTCTGAGTAAGGGTTAACAATATTAAGTAATTACCTTGGCTCCTTCAAAGTATAGCTTTGGCAGGTAAATGTAAACAGCCCATTGCAGGTGCACAAAAGCTTACTCTTGTGGGAATGGAAATGAAAAAAAAAAAAAAAAAAAATGTGATCATGTTGCCTTAGACCTTCTGCTGCCCTCACAGGACCCCACGGAGGACTTCTATTGTGGACAGTGAACAGGCTGATATTGCAATTGCCAGCAACATACAGTGTCAACACACCAACATTCTTTTCTAGTTCTAATTATGTAATAAAAACAACATAGGATGAAAAATGACTAGTTTATTTGCCATCTTCCCAGCACATAGTTTCTACAAAAATAAAAATGTTTGAGTTTCCATTTTCAGACTGGGTTTTGGATCAAAAGCTCTACTTAGCTATGCTTATAGGGATATTTCCGTCTGTCTGATTCCAAATATTTGCATTTGTTTCATACATTCTCTTTCTTGGTGCATCTTAAAGCATCTCTTCTTGGTGTTTCAACTTTCCACCTGCCTTTCTTTTCATACCTTTCCCTTGTTTCATTTCTTTTTATCTACAACTGTGCTTTGGAAAGTGCTGACATAATGGAGAAGAGTTGTCTGTCTCCTACCCCTGAGTAGGATGGAGCAGGAGGAAGTCAATTGAGGGACGCAAAATACAAGACTTTTTAAGATCTTACTTGTGCTGAGACAGTGCAATTTGAAACCAAGGAAACAAAACTTTTTACCCCAAATGAGAAGCAAATCAAGCCTTTTGTTTTTAATAACATTTCCTTTTAATTTATTCATCAGAAATTCTATTTCCACAGCTTCCTGTTTGAACAGTTCCTTACTACGTTTTTCCCATCCATCTACAATGTATCTTTTTAAATGGTGTCCCTTGAATTAGTGAACTCTCGTTATCAGTAAAAAAAATGATGGGAAATAACTCTTCAAATATAATGAAAAGTTCATATCTCAAAATATTTTGCAAAGCAACTCTAGTGGATTGGATTGTTAAACTGCTACTGTGAGTGTGATATGATTGCTTTTACTGTGGCTTCATCGGCTGAAAAGAAGTGACTAATTTCCCTTTATTTTGGAAATCATAGCCCATTATTTTGAGGTTTATGTTGTTTGGATTTGGTTTTGGGACAGGAGAAAATTATGTCTGCAAAACCCAGTTGTATTAAGTTACATTTTGGCAATGTGTTATACAAAAAAATGAGGATTACAGAGAGCAGCCAACATCATATACAGTGCTTAAATGTTATGGTAAAGAGAATGGAAAGCAGTATGTCACTGATGTTTCTAAATCAGGTAATTATTTGATTTATTTTGTTGTTGTTGTTCCTTTTTTTTTTTTTTTAAGCATAGTCTTTCTACCCATAATATGAGGGTTTATCTCTTTATAAAAACATTATGTTTTTGTCATAGAAGTGAAAAATAAAATGTTGCATGGTGCTGTAAGCAGACTGCCATGTTCTAAGTGTATACAGACTTTTCTAGATATAAGGAACCAATTAAAAAACTCAGACTAAGCTCATGGACATGTTGGGATTTTGGGGGATTTCTCTTTTGCGGCTTTTTGTGTGTGTGTATTTTGGTTGGGGGGGGTTTGTTGTTTTTTCCTTTTTCTTCTTGAGCCTTTATACATAGGGTAACAGAAAATATAAAAGTATCACGATTGAAAAATGTAAACCATACCCAGGAAAAGAAAAAGAGACATAGTGAGGAAGCAACATAAAAGCTGTAGTGATTAGTTTGTCTTCTGATCTAGCACCGACTTCTCTTTATAGCTCTTCTTTTTTCTATTTTTTTATTTTCTTTTCTTATCCAGGACAGCAGTAAAGTGTATACAACTCATATTTCCTACTTAGAAATCTACAATGAATGTGGTTATGATCTGCTGGAATCAAGACATGAGGCCTCCAGATTGGAAGATTTGCCGTAAGTGATAAAACTACAGAAAATCATCAAAAAGAACAACAGAAATAATTTTCACGTGTCCAGTGCATTGTTTGGGGACATTTTGAAACTCTGCTACTAATCTCAGTGTTTATTAACTTAAAATACTTTGTTTTCTTAATTTTATCAACACTGTCTACATTTCCTCTTATTTTGTATGTATAGAGGCTAGGAAAACTAGATGGGAGTAACCGAAGGTGAAAGTATTAAAAATTTGTACTGATATTATGCAGAAGAGATCTATTGCAGCCACTGAAAACAAAAGAGAAAGTATACTTGTTTTTCTTGTGACAGCCTGTCTCTTTATATGGTGTATATATACGTGTGTGTGTGTGTGTATGGCAGAGACATATGTAACAGGCAGTATTACATTGCAACAGTAGGGAGAAAAACTCCCTGCTTCTTCTTGGACCTTTTCCTTCAAGGATAATTATTTTTCTAGAATAAGCAATTATGAAATACGGTAAGTAGCAGATAGAAGGGGCCTCGAGGAACTCCAAAGGACAATATATTTACTTCAGAATCTGTGATTGTTATAATAGTTCTTATTGATGAGACACTAGCGCCTACTAGTACTTGGAGAAGGGTAGTAAATAAAGATTTGTAGGTCATGAATTTAAAAGCCTGGTGAAGTTAAAGATCTTATAATTTATAGGAAATCCAAATCCTAATTTCTAAGCTGCTTCTGAAAAAAATAGTTTATAGACTGTGTTAGTCTTTAAATAGCTCAGCAAACAGTAGATATGTATACGTGAGTTGTTGAATGCTTGGAATTGAAAATGCCTTAAAATAATGATGGAAACCATAAACTTTCTCACTAAACATGATGGTGACTGAAAGATGTAAATAACAAGTAAGTCACTGTTGATAAAAGAGCAGGAAATGTACTGGAAGCTTCCAATGGAGCAATAACGGAAAATCAATAGAATTTTATCTCAAAATAGATAATTATGTTATTAACATATCAAACCTTTTTTATTTATATAAAAATAAAATCTTTCAAGTTGTTTTAAAATGTAGCTTTAGTTTTCTACACAATGCGTGGTTTCTAGGACATATCTACAAAAAACTTGCAAGATTGATCTTTATGAAATAAGCTAGTTTAGAGATAAGGAAGGCAGTGGACAAACTCAAAGTATGAGACTGGGCTGGAAGTTGATCTCATTGTTTCCCTTTTTTCATCTGTAACATGGAACTAAATTTTATCACTTTATGACACATAGGTGCTATAAGGACTATATTTATTTACTGATGTTTTTCATAGTGAAGTTTAGGAATTTAATTTGGTTTATTATCATAGCTTCCTGTGCTATGCAGAGAAAAATCTTAAATTAGAGACTAATTTGGAGAATAATTTTTGTGCCCATTTTTGGAGGTGCAGATTTTTTTTGCAGTTATATGGAAAAAATACTCTGTTACACTTTTATTCATCTTACTAAAGTTAACGCTATTGTTATTTAGATTTATTAAATTATTAATGTCATTTCTTAATTTATTTGCAATATTTTATTTGAACTCATTCCATTTATTCATTTTATTAAATGGATTTATTCAATTGAACTAAATTGAATTTGATTAATTTAATTGCAATTTTATTTGATATAGTTTTTTGGGGGTCATATGCTCTGGAAAATATGTCACTTTTTAAAACTAAGTTCTAAATGTTTACTAACAATCATGAATTTTAGAATCTCCAAATTGGTTTATATATGGTGGTTCAAATAAGCTAAAGAAAAACTCCTTGTTATGTATTAGTCTATTTTTAAAAAGTAAAAGTTGACAGATAATTTGGTTGTGAATTAGGGATAAAGCACACTGGGATAATCATGATTACCTGTCAACTTATGTAGTGTATAGTATTGCAGGATAGGTTTTAGAGAAAAATAATTTTTTCTCTTCAAAGTAACTATCTTAATGGTTTTACTGTACATGTTCATTATTGTTTCCAGTACATTATTTCTCAAAAAAATATGGACTATACACTAAAACTATACCTCCATTACTTATATTTAGCATTGTATAAAAGTATTTAATTACAAAAATATTTTTTGTTTATTTTTTTAAGATAGGAATTTGGAGATTCAAAATATAAAAATGTAGTGTCATTCTGAGCTAAAAAGGGTGTACAAATTGCAGGAAAGGTTAGTTGCATGATTAATTGTATTTTAACTACTTAGTTAAATTTTATAGATGACAAAATAATTAGTAGTTACAAATAAATAAATAGGACTCACATATTTTAAAATATATCAGGTGTCTATTACCTAATATATGTTTCATTTTTCTAAGAATTTTATATACTTAAGACCTTTTAACATTTTAGTGGTAATAAACAAAATACAGAGTAATCTAACTGTCTCAAGTTTGTTTGAAAGTATGTATTTAATGAGAATATTAAAGAACTTACATTTTTTTTTATACTTCAAAAGCATCATATTATGCACAATTTCCTCTTGGACTCCACAGTGAATCATCAAGGTTTTAAGCATCATACAAAGCCAAATGTGGGTTTTCTATGCTTGGGTAAATAATAGCAGTCTGCGCTGATATTCTCAGAAGTATGTAAGATGGACAAGAAAAGCATTGAAGAAATGTGTCATTTTAGAAAAGTAAGCAAAAGATCAGTTAGCCTTGTAAAATATTCAGATTGTTTTGGAACAGCATTTTTATCCGTATTCCTTCAAAAGAAGGCGTTGCAATTTGAATCAAATATATGTACTTCTGCCTAGCAAACTATGTTAATGACTTTACGTTATGAGTTTAATGGAAGGTATAAACAGAGTGATGGCATTCAGGTAATAGAAGTTATGAAAAGCACACAACAGACTTGTTGATACTACTTGAAAAATGAGACATTAAAATTGTATCAGATGTTTAAAGAAAAAGGAATAATCAAAATTTTTAGAATTGCCCATTATATCTAATCATTGCATGATTAGAATTGGCATCTCAGCTGCTGATGCCAAGGTTTTGTGTGTAGCCAGTCCATATATTCTGTAGACTATTACATTTTCGTATTCATACTTCCTAATCATTTCATTAATATCTGTCAGAAGAGAAGGGAAGAGGCTCTCACTAAAATTCACTACTTTTCTGGAAAGAAATTCCTGACAAATGTGTGAATGTAGTTCATATATCTGTACAGATACTCTCTCTCTTCCCCTCTTCATCCCCATATATAGAAGTATATTTTCAGTGTTCTGAGAATTGCCAGTATTTTTAAATCTCTATTGCAGATAATATTAACCCATTCTTTTAAAGTGAAATACTTTCTTTAAAATGCATTCATATAAAATGCATTCTTTCAAATCATGGAGCAGGTCTTCCTGGAAACTGTGCTAGGGCACATTGAAAATAAGGAGGTGATTGGTGACACCCAACATGGCTTCACTAAGGGCAAATGAGTGCATTGAGAGCAGCCCTGCGGAGAAGGACTTGGGGGTATTAGTGGATGGAAAACTGACTATAAGCCAGCAATGTGCGCTCGCAGCCCAGAAAGCCAACCGTGCCCTGGGCTGCATCAAGAGAAGTGTGGCCAGCAGGTCGAGGGGGGGGAATTCTCCCCCTCTGCTCCGCTCTCGTGAGAGCCCACCTGCAGTGCTGGGTCCAGCTCTGGGGCCCTCAACATAAGAAGGTCATAGGCCTGCTTGAGTGGGTCCAGAGGAGGCCACAAAGGTGATCAGTGGGCTGGAGCACATCTTCTATGGAGACAGGCTGAGAGAGTTGGGGTTGTTCAGCCTCGAGAATAGAAGGCTCTGGGGACACCTTCTAGCAGCCTTCCAGTACTCTAAGGGGGCCTACAAGAAAGATGGGGCCAGACTCATTATCAGGGGGTGTAGTGATAGGACAAGGGGTAATGGCTTTAAACTGAAAGAGGGTAGATTTAGATAAGATTAAGGAGAAGATTCTTTACTGTGCGAGTGGTGAGACACTGGAACAGGTTGCCCAGAGCAGCTGTGGCTGCCCCCTCCCTGGGAGGGTTCAAGGCCAGGTTGGACGGGGCTGGGAGCACCCTGGGCTGGGGGAAGGTGACCCTGCCCATGGCAGGGGGGTTGGAACTGAATGTTTTTTAATGTCCCTTCCAACCCAAATCATTCTACGACTGTGAAAATGAAGCGTGTTCAGTGAGTGACTATTGAATACTAAAGATTAGGAGAATACAAAGGTTTATAAAATAAAGCTTTCCTGTTAGTTGATGATGAGACAGATGAAAACATTTCTAGTAGTTTCCTCAAAGATTATGTTTTGTTCATTACAGTTCAAACAAATTACACTTTAAATGTGCACAATAACTTCAGCATACACTGTATATTGTTTACTCCCATCTAGATTTTATATTGATATGTTTCCTGAAAACCAGGAGGAAGAAGTCAGTGAAACTTTTCTGAGGTGATTTTTCTAAAGGCATTGAATGAGTAAATTAATTCAGTTCAGATTATTGCTGTCCTGTTCAACTTTACTTTTGAATATCAAAGCAGTATTTAATAAACTTTTTTTTTTTTGAGATTATTGCAGTTGTCTGCAAATTCTAACAGATCTTACATGTTTTGTTTGTACATGAACCACCAATGTCATTGTTTCAGTTCTGACTCCTTGTTCTTCACAGTGGAGTGAGGTAGGAGAGAGAGCTGTTGCAGGGCTCTTTACAGGTCTCACTAAGACTGTCAACACATGGCTTAGTAAAGTAACTGCTTTAATCATAAAGACTAGAAAGAGGACTGTAGGTGGCAGGTAAACCTTACATCCCATCAGCTGCTGGGCACCCTGTGTTCGTGCAGCATCAGATGGAGCCTGAAGGGATTTTCCCAGGGCTCGCTGCACAGAGCAGCGCAGCTCCTGCCCATGGAGAGGAGCTCTCCCTTTTGGTCATTAGAGCTATTATATAATTTCCTTACAAGAAAACACCTCAATTTCTAACAGGTGCCTTCAGGAGAACTTCTTGTGGCAGTTTTTGATAAAGGCAAGGCCACGCAGGTGGTGTGATGGCCAGGTGGGAGCTGCCTGCTGGCACTTCTGTTATAATGACCTGGCTGAATGTATCCTGCAGCCAAGGGTCTGTGCAGCACAGCACAGCCCAGGCCTGAACGGCAAGCTCTGCGAGCAGCACAGCACAGGCTGCTCCTGCTCAGCCTAACTGTTAGGTAGATCACTATACTCCTACGTGTGCAACAGTCTCTCAGTATCAGTCCACTCCTATGACCATAAAGTGTAGAGCACGCAAGCTGCGTTTTTCTTGTCTCATGTAGAATACGTTGGAGACAGTGGGAAGGATTTCCTGTCACATTGTGACGTATCAGGTGAACAGCCTGCACCAATACTTACTCATCTTATAGTCCTGTCATGTCTCACAAGCTAAGGAGATTATGCCCTAGGTCTATACTTGAATGGAAAATCAGATCTCTGCTACTGAAAGCTGTGCTGGTGACTGTATAACTTTGTAACCTTGCCTCTTGAATCAGCGTTCACTTTGTCCTCCTATGTGGTATTCAGGGAGCTAGACTTCTGAAAGATACATTTTTTGAGATGATATATAGAATTATGATCTTGGTCATTCTGTCTTGAAACCTAAAGCTCCTTGCAACTTTACACAAAGATTAGCTATAGTTATTCATTAGTTTATTCTGTTCTTCTGGACAGACTCCAAGGTGCATGCTTGTTGCTTTTCTCTTTTACCCTTCTCCTAAATTTATTATTGGCTCTATTGTCTCCTCCTTGTGCTGAAGTAGTATCACTATATTCTGCTAATGTATTATCATAGAAGATATGTATCCTCATATATTATTTGTTTACATCATTATGATTAATTATTAAATGTTAATAAAGTTTTTTAGATTATTGTAGATTTCTTCAGTTCTAAGCCCTAGAGACAGGTATAATCATAGGAAACTTGAATTTTAAAATTGTAATTTGTTTTCTAAAATATTTTACCTTTTTTTTTTTTTATTTTACATTCCACAAATAAATGAGATGGTGTTAATTAATCAAAGGAAGCTTTAACTTAATTGTTTGACAGTAACAGGAATTTCATAAATGAAATCATTCAGTGTGTAAGGCACTCATGCATTAATGTCAGCTCAACGGATGCAGGAAAGGGCCCAAGTTAATAACAGTATAAAAAAGGCTGATCCCATCCTACAGGTTTCCTAGTCAGCTACAAATTCCATCCATTAAGCTAAATGGAAAAGATTCTTTGTTTAGAAAGAAAACAAAACCTTGTCTCTGCCTTCTTTCAGTCATTATGGATAACCCAACAATGCTTTTCCACTCCAATATCCAAGTTAGGGATATGAAATTTAAAGATTTCACTAATATAATGTTCTATAGAAATCTATAATCATATTATACAGTAGTTTTATAGCACCATAAAATACATCATTTTGTTGTCATTTTGGAACATGTCTTTCTGAGGAGGTTTTGACAGATGCCTCTTGAGATATGCAAATTTAGATTTCCATCTGGAAATCTTCCTAATAGCTGCAAGGCCACTGTATAAGAGGCTGTCACTGGTTTGTGATGTCCCCACTGTCTCCTTTCCGATATAATAATCCTCCAGAACTTTTCATCCAAACTAATATCTTCATTGTCTGGAAATTATAACCATTGATCAAAATATAGTCTGAAAAGATCCTTAAAAGTTTAAATACTGTGCCAAATGTGCAGAGCAGAATAAAATTGTTTTCCTAAATTATAAAGAGGCAGATGATGCTTACTATGTAATTTCAAAATATTAAAATTAGTCAAAGCATCATACTGTAATCAGAACCACTCTGGGCTTTAGCGTGTGATGCACAGAGATAGAATTGTGGACATAATACAACTTGACATTACCAAAATACTATTATGTGAGAGCAGAATTATGCTTTTGATTTTATGCTCTGAATGGGGGAAGCAGAGTTTCATGACTGTCCTAATGCTGTGTTACCCTACTGCACAAAAATAAGGCTATAAGTGAGAGGAAATTATACTTGGAAAAACAATTGTTATGACTACTAAAGAAAAATTATGTGTACTTTTACAAGTATTTGCTTCTTGAAAATACTGAGTGTATTGCAATGTGTTCATATTATTTCTGTATATCCATTCCAATATTTTGACCATCAGAGGGTGAACTATTTCCCTAATACTTAAGAGTAATACTATGGAATGCTTCTTAGCTGCTCGATTTGATTCAGTCGGGGTAAAAAAGACAAGCAAAACAGAACAAAACCTAACCTGTGTGGTTTTGAAGCAGCTTGGAGTAATTAGCATGCAAGAACTATCTAGAGATAAAAACTCAAGCCCCATACTCCCTCTTGTGGTTAACCTTCAAGAATATGAAAAAAAAAAAAAAAATCTGTATGCACACATACATATACATATATGTATAATATATATATAAATTATTATGTCTATTTACAGGAGAAAAAAAAACTTCTAACTTTTAAAAAAGTTGTAATTTTCTTGTTTTAAGTTGTCTCAGAACATGTAATTCACTCTGAAGGACATGTCATTCATGCTCAGAATTAGTATACTTCAATTTTAACAGTCTTCACTCTGGGAGTTTTCCAAATCCAGTAATGCAACTATTTGACTACCATAATGGATACTATAGAATGTCCTAACTGAGGAGACCCTAGTGGCTACTCAGTAAAGCCAACTAAATTTAACTGTCAGTAAACTGATCAAAAGAAAAAAATTTTATTAAAAGAAGTGAAAAGGAGTTTTAGTAATATTTAGTAGCTATCCTGGAGCTTTTGCTGTATCCTTGCTACTTCCATCTAACTTTCTTTTTGTGAACTTCAGGGCTTGAAGAAGTACAACTAAGAAAATTTCTAACCTCAGTGGAAATAAATAAAATCTTTGTGTTTGCTTGAATTTAATTTAAGAAGGGCATTACTTACATTTGTAGTTATTACCATTTGAGAAGAATTAGTAGAGAAATAATCTTGACAAATGAAAAGTTGTTAGAAACATGTTGGCTACAGATGTGTGGATTCTGAAATACTCCATGCCTACTTGTTCATCAAGATTATAGTATGATTTATGTATCATTTGTTCTTCAATAGCTGTGGTAATGGCAAACAAACCCCTACTTATTAATTGTTTGTGATGACTCATCTAACCTCTTGCTCATGAGTTCTTACCATATCTCATAAAAAAAAAATTCCCCAGGATTTCTCTAATAGTTAAAGATTTTATATATTCTTTTTATTTGTGGAAGTTTGTAATAAAGGAATAAAAAGGAGGTGACAGAGAGTATAAAACAAATCAGCACTTCCTTTAATGTGCATTGTTTACTCTTCATGGTTTCAGTTCTTTTATTATGATCGGGTTTAGGTTTTAGATATCACCTTTTAGATGCAATAAAAATGCAAATATGGAGGAAAAAATCACCTTACAACAATTCCAATATTAATTTTGTTTTGTGTTTTTTCCATGTAGAAAAGTGACAATAATGGAAGACCCTGATCAGAACATTCATCTGAAAAACTTGTCTCTTCAGCAAGCAACCAATGAAGAGGAAGCCTTAAACCTACTCTTCTTGGGAGACACCAACAGAATGATTGCTGAGGTGAGAACTGCTGCTACAAACCTTACATACCACCACCAGAGTTAAAATGGCAATAAACTTCTCCATATAAGATGCATATTTTAGAAGTCCTTGGAGATAAATGAGTAAGTATCTTCTTTCTGAGTGTATTTCCACAGTGGAATTAAATAGGCATTTCTCTGGTGATAGCTTTCACTTTGCGAAGTGCTTTCTGTTTTTCCTTAGTGAATCTGATTGGTCATTGTTGATGTCATAACTTACTGCAATTAAAATAAGTAAGAAAAAAAATATTTTCTCATAAACCATAGACTGACTTTTGAATGTCACATGTATCATCATACATACACAGTTAAAGATCAGAAAACATGACCTTACAAAACATTGTCAAATATTCCTGCAGAAGTACTAAATTGCCTTTGAAGTAGTTACTGTAAGAGTTTGCAGTCCCTTCAATTTTCTTCTTATTGCATAAACATGTAGTGTTATGTGTAAAAAACCAAATGGTAGTGCAAAACACATTCAAAATAAATATTTACCAATATGCAAAGACAAGGGCATTTTTACTGATTCTGGAAAATTCAAATTAAATGTTTCCATATCCAAAATCTGTAGGGGTTTTTTTTCCTTATCTTCATATTTGGAAATGGAATGTAAGTATTAAAAGTGTATTGTGTAGTGTAAGTATGGTCAATGTGTCTTTGCTATAACACAGCTAATTCTATTTTAGAAATTTGTGGATTTTCTTCCTCAGACCACAAAGTTATATAATAAATCAATGACAAGAAAGACATTTAAAGTATATAAAATAGTCAAGTACCTCTCTGTTCCTACTGGCTGATCATGTATACCTGGGCACAGGGGAAGAAGCCTTTGATTACAAAATGCAAATAGGCAAAAAAATTATTTGTTCTGCCTTTCTCAAGGGAGACTATTTCAGCAGTGACATACTGAGAGACAGAAAGACGTTAAGGCAAGAGATAATTGAGCTGTACTTAAGGGCTGTTAGTAAATATGAATATTGAAGCAAGGAACTGTTTGATATCGAAATGGAAAAAATGATACAATTTAGAGAAGAACTTTAGAAGGCGTAATAGAGGAGACATGAAGATGACATTGAGTTCAGAAGCCTGAAAACCTATCATGATAGATGGTAAGGAAAACAGGAAAAGAAAGTCCATTACATGGAAAAAGATCTTCAGGAAATCTCTGATCAGTTTAGAGGAACTGGGTATGAAAATGAGAAAGAATATTTAAAGAATGGTGTGGTGCTGGCTGACAGGATCATAAATCAGCAATTGTAAAGGGCAATTGTGTTACATATTTGGAAAATGTTGCCTGAAGAGAAAATGTATCCCAAACACTGAAAGTCATGAACAAATAGCAGGACTAACGAGGATGGTAAGTCATTAAAGGTCAAGATGAAGTAATGCTTGGTAAAACTATAAGAATATTCTTAATGGGTCAGACCAAAGATATGTCTGCTCCAGTTTCCTGTTTTGAACAATGGCCAATAGCAAATATATAAAGAGTAAAAGATAAACCAAGTAAATAATGATACTTTAAAAAAAAAAAAAAATCTGATCTTCATTAGTTTGTGTTTAGCTATTTATAGCTAATAACTTTTGTCATATTTTTTCTTTACATTAATTTTCCCAAATGCTTTTGGAACCTTGGCATATTTTTATCATGAAATCTTATGTGACATGGAGTTCCATGACTTAACTACATTGTGTGAAGAAAAATATCCTTAACCTTTTTTTTAATTTACAACTTGGTACTTTTATTTGGGACATGCTAATACTTGCTAGAAAACATAAGAATAGACATGAGAAAGTGTGGGACCCCAGTAACGGAGAATTCACTAATCTGAGTGGCTTGCATTAGCAAATGCTATGCCACTGCCACTTTTGCTGCTTTTGCAACAGTAAGAGTTTTTTGTTACGTAAAACCTATAAGGTTATTGTTTTGTTGGTCTTTAATGAAGAAGACTTAAAAAAATGCAGATAATACTTGCTTGGAATAACTACCACCCATTGCAGCAATATTTACTTTCCTTGCTAATATGATTCCAAAAACTTCAAATGAGGTGGATTTCATTGTAGAAGTTTTATTTATGTAGTTATCTCCTACACTGTTCCTTTGCAATTGCAGCAGGTATGTTGCAGTAGAGTTCAGTGAGTTTACTGAGTGCTTCTTCCTCTTAGGCATTACAGAATTCATCACCCATTATCATTTGGCATTTTTGGCTTTAGGTGACTATGGTACTTTATATGATGACTTATGAGAATGAGAGAATAGTGTTTGCAGAAAGGAGGGATTAATGTAGAGGGCTAGGGAAGAGGTTTGATGACATGAACCATAACTTCTTCTCCAGAGACGCATATTTTTAAAACTTAATTGAATTACAATAACACTTCCTGACCTCAGAAAATATTTGGACCCTATTTAAGTAAACTTTAAAGGAAAAGACACAAGATGAATAAACCTAAAGGAACATAAATGCTTGATTCATCTTTTTTAATGATGAGGAGTTTGTCTATAGAAAAACTAGGATGACTGTCATGGATCACATGTGAAATCCGTGGCTTATAAAATTGCAATCTAATGCTTTACCCCTGAGATAAGCCTTCTTTGAAGAGTTCCAGGACCAGTTTGAAAATAAGAATGACAATTTGATTTCTGCAATGCCTCTACTAAGTGGAGTCTAATTTGTGATTTGAGGGCTACATTTTGCCCTCACCACTGACTGTGCTAAAAAGAAAGTGATCATAATATTAATAGTATTCTATAGACTACTGTCCTGGTTTGGGCTGGAATAGAGTTAATATTCCTTTTTAGTAACTAGAATAGTGCTATGTTTTAGAATCAGCATTGGGTTTGGTATGAGAAGAATGCTGATAGCACTCTGATGTTTTCAGCTGCTGCTGAGATTTCAAGGACTCTGACTCCCCATGTTCTGCCCGTGCGCAAGAAGCAGGGAGGGAGCAAGGCCAAAGCACCAGACCCAAATTGGCCAATGAAATATTCCATATCATGTAACGTCATGCTCTATATAAGAGGAGAGGTGGTCGGGAAGGGGGGCTCTCTCTTGCTTCCAGGATTGCGATTGCGGTATCTTGGTATTTCGGGATCGCTAGCCAGGAATGGGATCAGTATTGGTCAGTGGGTGATGAGCAATTGCATTGTGCATTGCCCGTTTATATTTTCTATTGCTGTCATTGTTTTATTTTGAATACCCTTATTAAAATATTTCTACCTCAGCTTGCGAATTGCCCTTTACCCCTCCAGTTCCCTTCACCATTCCCAGGTTGGGAGGGAGGGCAAGTGAGCGGCTGCAGGGTGGTTGGCTGCTGACCAGGCTCAAGCCATGACAGCTACATTAATTCATTCATCAAATATCAGAACCTAAAGGAATGTTTATAACCAAATACTTCTTTCCCACACATAACTATATAGCTCGTGAGAAAGGAAAAAAAGAGGAAGCTATTCTAATTTGTGTAGGATTGGTTTATAGGTCAGTGTAGGTCCAATCCTTTGCTCTAGTTTTGACACGTGCTACAAGTTGTGGAAATTGTAAGACGGGAGACATCTGTGCACAAACACTCTGTGATGTAAAAATCCAGATAAGAAGTTTATGTCTCTTATATTTTGCCAGGGAGAAATAGGCAGGGAAGAAACCCAAAAAACTAATTCTTTTGTTGGCAGCTCTTCGAACTTCATGGGCTATATTTTTGGTTGGTTGGTTGGTTGGGGTTTTTTTCCATAAAACACAGTTTCTTGTTACATTTGAATGCAGAGGAATCCCAGCTACAGATTATAAAACAAAATCTGAATTTATTTTTTATATTTTATTTTTTTAAGCCAACTTTATTATTTAGGTATCTCAAATACATGCAAATGAAGGATTCCAAAGTCTGATTTGCACATATGACACAGGTAGTATCAGCAGCATCTAAAAAAGCTGATGTACAGAAATAAGTGTTTGGCCATTTAGGTAGTGTTCACAAACCGGTTTATTTTAATAGGTATGCTATTAATGTATCTTTAACTGAAGTGTTCTTTTCTAAATTCTTGTGATGGAAATCTATTGTGATCACTGTCCTTTGAAATAATATGCCTGAAACTCTGTGATTTAGAGAATTCTTAGAACTTTTTTAGAATTTCTCTTAAAATATCAGGATAAGGTAGACCCGGTAGCCTCCTAAGGGCATGCATCAATTTCAGAACTGTAAAATCTTTATGTGAAATTGCTATGTCTGGTTTTTTTCCTCTAATTAAAAATTACTCAATTTTAATGAGGAAAGAAATGTTTTACTACATGGTTTTATGCCTATAATACTCCATTGTTTAAATTTGGAAGACAGTGCATACTGCACAGTATTTGTTCCATCATTTAAAATGTTTGAAGTACACATGGGGCAAGTAGTAAGCTTTTGGCAACGTTTAGATATGCCTATTTCAAGAAAGAATTAAACTTTAAAACATTTAAAGATAGTTGTGAGGACTGACTTGTGACCTCTGAATTGGACTCATTCCCTTTGAATTTGGTTTTATTTTCCATTAGTATTCTCTTGAATATATTTAGAAAGCCATTGGTAATGTTTGAATGTGTTTTTTCTTGGATGAAATATGAAAAATAAGATTTGAATATGTGAATATATGAGATTAAATGACACTTCTGCCAAGAAGGCATGTTATCCATGTTAGAGTTGCATTCCAGAATGACTTACAACCTTTTACATTCCTAGGTTGCTCATTGGTGTCAATTATTAATTTATTTCCACTCTAACAAACCTGTTCTATAGTATCATTAGCACCAAATGGCATCATCATTTCAGCACAGGTGCTTTCATTTCTGTGTGTGGTAAAACAATCACTGGTCTTATGTATTACTTTGAATAGTCCTTAAAGTGCTTTGGGATTTATATGGATAAAAGACACTCTATAATGTGCAGTTTAATAATATCCTCACCAGGGAATATTAATTACTTTAAAAATTACTTCAGTTACCATGGTGTAAC